CGGGCGCGCCCGCCGGCCTGCGGGTCGGATGGCGATGAGAGCCGCGGTGCCGGGGACCCCACAGCCGAGAATCCCCACGAGGGGCGCATACACGCAGGCACATTCCCTTCCAACAGCCAGAGGACCCCCCAGCAAACGCCAGGCCCGTGTGGGCCCAACTCCACGTACAGCTGGAGTCCGTCCCACGAGCAGAGGCCTGATCCTGAAGGCCCGAGACCCGGCCCACGACGGCGGGAGAACCCCTTCACGCCCCTCGGCCCGAGGCCCAGCCCGACCAGCGACCCCGCCGCGGCCCCACCTGGTCTCCGCGATGCGCTGCCGCAGGGCCTTCACGTAGTCGAAACTGTCCGGGCTGCAGATGTCGTAGACCAGCACGAAGGCGTCCGTGTCCTGCAAGCTCCAGTCCTTAGGGTCTGGCCACTCCTGGGGGCGGGAAGCCGGGGTTTGCGGGAGCCCCCTTGCCATCCGCCCACTCCCTGCCCCTCTGCAGGGGCCTTGACGCCAAAGCCCACACTTCATCCTCAGGTGAGCCCTGGGCCCCTCCCCCAGCTCCCTGGGCCCCACTGTCCTCTGGCCGTCAGGACCACAACTTCCAAACTGTGCCTTGGAGCCTGCCAGCCACCTTCCCTCGGCCCTGGTCCCGCCTGTTCACCCCTGCAGGTCTCGCTTCCCCCTTTCAGCTCACCCTGACTCGGCTCAACCCTCCCTCCTCCCTAGATATCCTCCCTGGTTACAGTTGCCCTGAAGACGAACTCCAAAGCCCTTGGCTGCAGCCCCGTGGTCCACCACGCCCCCAGAGACCCTGATTGTCAACAGTTGTTAACAGTGGTTAAGCCTCTGGCCTAAGTACCTGCTGCCCTTTCTACCTGCAATGCATTTGCCACTTCCTTGACTCAAAACTGCCCTCAGCCTTCCAGCTGCTGCTCGGATACCACCTCCTCCAGGAAGCCCTGCTTAATTCTGCCTGCCCTTTCCTCTTCAGTCCCCTAGGACCGGAGGTCTGTCCCGGACTTTGCTCCAGAGCGCTGGAATGAGGGGGCAGAGAATGCCCCTCCCCCCGAAAGTGCACCCCTATGCCTGGCCCGTCTCCCTCACTGCGGCTCCGCTCAAGGCCCCAAACAAACAATGCCCCCCCAGGGAGGCACCATCACGCGCGGACCCAGACCCGCGGGCGCAGGCGGGCAGGCAGAGATACAGGCATTCCCTGGGGCAGGAAGAAGCCACCAGGTGGGCGCGCCCGGCGGGCGGGCTGGACGCGAGTCCGCCAGGACACACGTTCCTTGGATCCCTGGACGCGGCGGTGCGCCCTGGGGCCACCCACCGGCCACGCACTTGGGCGCCGCGCACGCACCTCCCTCCACCGGCACGCGCCCTGCCCACTCTTCGCGCCGCTACCTCGAGACCCCCGGGGCTCGGGCCGGGGCCAGCGACGTCGCCGTCGCGGATGCTCAAGTCGTAGACGGCGCCGTCGAGCAGCACCGCGGGCCGGGAGAGGCGCGGCCC